ACAAACGAAATTAGATGCAAAGTTCAGAGGCGAGGTAATGGACGGAGCCCGATACGTTTTAAAGTCTACACAGAACAATAGACGTAACAATTATCCACAGGAAAGTTTTCGGAAGTTACCAGATGATCAAATTCCAGAAGAGCTTTTGATGTTAATTATAAAGAACAAAGTCTGTTGGAAAAGTCTGTTGATACAGAAGAGTATTCGTGAAGTCATGTGATTGATGATGGGCGAGGGTTGCTTTAAAAATGTGTTTGATGAATTCGTGAGGCCAAGTGTTGGGCGATGGACGAACAATGTGGTTGATGAATTCGTGAAGCCAAGTGTTGGGCGATGGACGAGTAATGTGGTTGATGAATTCGTGAAGTTAATGTGTTTGGCGATGGATTTAAAAGTTGGCCAATAAAAGCTTAGTTATGTATTTTGGATTACGAATTGATGATTTGAACTGATTAATGTATAATTTGAAAATGTTTAAATGATCTCTTGCTTGGAAATGTAAATGAAAGAAATGGTTTATAAGAGAATATAACCTAAGATATGTTAAAATAACCCTCAACATGTTAAAAATAGAAGTTAAGTTATGTTACGGAATATTATATGAGTTTCAGATTATTTGGTTAAGTTTTTCTGAAGTATTCAATGAAATTATTAAGATGGAATCAAACTGAGTTGTTAATGGTAGACACGAGGACGTGTATATATCAGGATCAGGAGGAGGTACTGTAGCATCTCGATAGGCATGAGACTGTAAGGTGTGACCATAGGTTGTGCTGGTAGATACTAGTTCCGGTAGAATGGGGACTCAGTTTGCGAACTGAGGCTGTGTGTGGATTCGTAGGCGTTTCTAGATCTGGTCTTTCTCTTGTGGCTGTCCTGTGTTTCCGGCGTGGCATGAGGTGGTCACTTGTGTGTATTCAAGAGACAATAATGAGCAACAAAGCAACGAAGACTCGCTGCATCCGCCAAGACTGAGTACGGAACACCAGAATCCGAACGACCAAGCGTCGAATAATGATGACCTGCAAGGAGATGACTTTAATTCTCCGACAAGTCAATAAAACTATTAAAATTATAAATATTAAATCGATCCTTTTTTGTGTTTGGCATATTCGAATATTTTAATGATATTAATTTTTGCACAAAATGCAGCCATCACAAAATCATTTAAATGATCAGTCACTTGACCTACATATTTATGTTTACCCTTTCGCCCCAACGGGCCGCTGCAGATAATAAGGGGTCAAAATGCATTCCAATCCTAACTCGAAATCATTAAATAATCTTCTCATTCATACACATTTGTGTGTATGTGTGGAGGTCGAATTTTTCAGAAACTTTCAAACTGGTCAAGATTTGTATCGGACAGGCAGGCAAACACCCCTTTCATTATTTCATACTAATCATCCCTTCAAAAGGGCAGAAATGAATCCGAAATTTGAGAAAAATTTAATTTGTGTGCATTGTTAATTGTGCGGACACACAAGATTTCAACGATCCTGGCATAATAACAGAGCTTTGAGAGAACTGAGAGTAAGCTAAAACAGTTTCCTGTAATGGGAGCGAAATAAAAAAACTGATGCCGCTCTATTACATAAATCATATGTATTTCTTACTCTCTTTCTCCTGAGCAAGTGAGCGAGTCCCACACACGAAAAAATAAAAGGCGACTTTGAACCAGAAATAAAAAAATCCATGGCCACATGTGTTTTTTCTTCAACGGTAGTTGATGATTGGTTAAACGTTTGATGGTGATATTTGCCAAACACAAATCTTCGAAGACAAGGACTCTCAAATTAAATTGTCTTCATGCTTAATGTGTCCAACAGCCAGGCATTAAAAAAAAATACCTCTGTACCGAGGAGAATGTCAATCCTTCCAGACTGGTAAAAATTTTCTTCCGCAAGTGCCGCATTCGCGAGCAACCTTCAATCCGACGTGCCGATTTTGAGTTACTTTTAACGGTGAAAAAGGAGATTTATTTTCGGTAGATGTACAGCTGTTGATTTTATTCGTTTTATACCCAATGCCACCAGTTTCGAACTGATGCTTGTGATATTGCTTTGGGAATAAGAGTCAAGCAGTGCTCTTTCTCGCAGAAGTCCACCGGACAATTTACTCATGCGATTGCGTTGTTATGGATAATGGCTATGTAGACGATGGTGATGCAGTCGTTTGAGACGTTTGGCTAACGTGCAGCAGCGTGTGATGGTGATGTTTGCAATAACAACGATTTTTAGAGGGACACTGAACCAGTGTTCAGTGTCCTGATTATAGGCAATTACTGCACAGTCCAGATTCCGCACTTTAGTTTGGGCTCATGTCTCGAAACTGCGAACATTATACAATTTTGTGATTGGAGCTGGAAGTTACATTGCTTGTTGGATAATTAATACCAACCTATATCAACTTTTTGTCTTTTTTCCGAACCAGCCATTTGATACGATAGGAAGCTGATTGCAACTATAACATTGACGTTCCAAAATGGTTGTGCTTTGAGCCCCGTTTGGCAATGTACGCTTCCTGGTCACATTATACGATAATAATGTATATCAGCATGACTTGACCTAAACCTGATCCTGTACACAACGAAGAAAGATATGAGTACAAAGTTGACGCAGACAACGCAGCTGATTTTCGTCCGGTTTTTCTACTGGCTGTATATTGAAAACGATTTCATTGTAGCTAAAAGTGTAAGTATTTTCATAACGTTCTTAAACAAGTAAGTCTTGATTCATTTGGAATGCCTATACCGCCTCTTACGCAGAGCCCTTCCAACAATTCCATAGATGGTTAAACCTTTTAATGTTTGAAAGAGAGTACTCAAGACTGCGTATCTGGTGAAGATAATCGATGGCGGCGAAGAGCGAATTGGAGGAGATTTGGCGAATCAGGTGCTATACAGTCCATCATACATTTGAGATTGAATGAATAATTTTATACTCACAAGGGTAAGGTGAAAGACATCTCTACAGGTCCATTGTCCCCTAAATCTAATGCTCCCGACCGTTATAAGACCAACTTTGAGTTTACAATGTCACGCTCACTGAAGGGGTGAGGGACAGTTCTAATGCTCTAATGTTAACAGTACGACCTTGACTTGTCACTTTCTTGTCTCACAGATGTGAGTTTTTCTACCAACGGAATGGAAATTCACAGTGAGCAGAGGAAGCGAATTAACGACAATGAAGCAAGTGCAGCGAAAATAACGGAATGCAAATTATAACGGGTCCAGAGTACCACAAGAGTACCAGGTGGCCAAATATTGCTGTCGATGCTGTATTTTGCGAAGAGTTAGACGAAACATTCGTTACTTGTCCGCAACGAAATTATGTTCTGTAAAGATAGGCTCAAATCCCGCAATACAAACTATATAGGACAGTAGCACAAAACGTTCTCTTAAAACTTCACCCCTCAAGTCTCACACACTCACGAATGAAAAACCGATTGAATTAAACAATCCATTTAAACTTAAAATAATGTACAAATGTGATATATGACCAAATAACCCTTTTTACCAATTTCTCACGGAAAATCCATATTAATGGGGGTATAAGAATAATAAATATGTTTTGTGTTGATTATTTTGTCAACTTACAATGTCATACGCGTTTTTTGGTAGGGGCTAATTCGACTAACCGTCGCCAAATTGACCACCAAAAGACGAAAAGCAGAATACTGTTGGTTTTTAATTAAAATTTTATATTGTATAGTTCACTCCGAAATTTGTTTTTCCTGTATGATTGAGGAGATGCCATTGTTTATAAATATTATTTAGTTTCTTAGCTAGCCCTTAACTGGCTGGTTTATTGTAGAGCAAAAGGGACAATTTGGCTGTTGAATGACTGAAGACCACTCGATGTGAAAAAACAATTTCGTTTGTAATATATTGGTAATAGATAGCGTGGGAAAGCTGATGAATAGAATACCATGAACAGACATATGGTGGTGATTACACATTTTTTAAATTGGCGCAAATATTTGTATATTATAAATTTGACCCAGGCAGGCAATGAATGGTAATTTCTTTCTTTATATTAGATATAATACACTGAAATTTTGTTGTTGTATATAACTATATTAAATGAAAAATTAATATGGTTGCAACGGAGGTTCAGAAACACAAAGGGCTTTTTAAAAAAAAAGCTACTATTTTACTTTAGTTTTTTTTTGGTAGTTGCGAGTTCGAGTCCGGCAAAGGCAATAAAAATTAGATTGCATTTTTTGCTAAGCTAAGGCATTTGGTGTTAGTAGAATGTCTAGAGTAGGCCCTTCTCTTTATGAATTTTACACAGAAAAAATATTTTTAGATTTACATTGGGTTGCATTGGGTTGCTAGTCCAAAAAAAGAAAATTCGTAAAAATCTTCAGAGCCTGTTGCAAGATGAGAGTGCTGTTCAAGCTGCTTCACGAAAATGAAATTCAGGTAAAGCATAGCAATAGAAGAATTTTGTATAATTATAAGTATGTAGGGTTTGCTGTATTTCGGATAAAAGTAAATTTTTTTAATCGGCGGTGCTGTTTACACATTAAAAATTATGAATTTTATGTGCTTCTTGTCCTTATTTGTGTGCATGTTCTTATTGTCACGATAAAATCTGATTCGTTTATTATATTTAAGTACTGTCTATTTTTGTTTATGGATAATATTGGCTATTGAAGGATAATATAAATATGTTTATTTGCATACTAAATAAAAATTTGGTTAAATGTTTATTTATACTTGAAATAAAAATAAATAATAAAATAATATATTATTGGTAGAAGTTCAATTTAATAATAATAAATGACCATGTAACGAAATCCATAGTTGGTATTAAACAAAAAATGTTTATAGTTTCCTTATTATAAAATTTTAATCAATTGATTATTAAATTTGTTGTGTGTTTAATTAAAGATTAATTGTGATTTGTTAAAAAAGGTATGTGTTGTTAAGAAACGAAGCATGGTATTTAAATGAGTAACTATCGACCTTCAGTAAGTGTAATGATCTTATTCACCTCTTTTGGTCTCTCTTCCTTCATAATGTCCAGGGAGTTCTCGGTACCACGATTATGGCTATCCTGGCCGGTCTTGGCCGACTGCGGGGTCGATCCGTTAGGGTGCTTGCGGACATCCAGTTCGTTACGCATAGTTTCGTAGCGACGCAATTCGAAGTCGATGATATCCATGCACAGTGACCCTATCTGTTGCGTAATGAGCTTAAAGATTATAATAAAAATTTTACTTGTTGTAACTTACCTTGTACTGTACAATTAGTGGATGAAACTTGGTGTAGGTAGAAAAACAAAAGAATATATAAATAATGTTTGTGGATAAGTCCAAGCTTTTCCGCCAATCTTCGCGCAGCACTCGGGATAACGCACTGAGGCAGGCCTCTACAAAAACAGAGGTAAGTCAACATGCGTACAAAAAAAATCAAGTAAGAAGTTTTAGTCGGGAGCTCCCAACTAGGGAATACCCTAAACCCTCTTATTTCAACACCATATGCAGTTGTTGCATTGATGTTTTCGCTAGCTGCCCATCCAATTGCGCAGTTACATATAAATTTTTTATCGATTGCTTGGAAACCGAGAAAGTTCGATTTTCGGAAACAAAGTCGATCTGCGCAGGAACTAGGAGGACCTACATCGAAAATTTAGGTCTCTAGCTCTTATAGGTTCTGAGATCCTTACGTTCATACATACGGTCAGACGGACAGATGGAAAAACGGACGGACAGGCGGACGGACATGGCTAGATCGACTCGACTATTGATAATGATCAAGAATATACATGCTTTATGGGGTCGGAGATGCTTCCTTTTGCCTGTTACATACATTTGAATTTTGCACAAATACAATATACTCTTACCCATTTTTAATGGGTTCAGATTATAAATAGAATTTAACAAGTTACCACTTTTTTCTAACTCTTCAAGATTATCGGGATTCCGAGCCATCTGAAGTATCATGGCAGATCCGCGTACTCGCTCACTCAACTCTTCGTATAGTAGATCGACGTACTCCTCGATGTTGGTAATGGTCACATTCGCCGTTGATATAGCTGACGTTGTGGCCCCATTAGACGCCGATCCCATAGTTATACCAGATATGGCCCCTACACTGTTATAAGAGCGCGCCGAAGAGCGAGTATAAGATGTGTGCAATGCCGCCGATTTACGATTGTTTGCTTGTGGATTTTCAGCAATATCTGTGTTTTGATAAATAATAAATAGGTTATATCCGCTATAAAGTTATTGGCAAAGCTGGTCCTCACCATTGTATTTACGGTTCTTAAGGTAGAATATGATTTGTTCCACTTCGTTTAGCTGCGACTTGTGTATAAGCTCACATTTTTCCACCACTTCGCGAGCAAGAGCAGCGGGATCTGTTTTGCTATTAAGCGAACGCAGGCGTATTGTTTTCTGACAATTCTTCAATGTGTAATCATGCACAAAATATATGAGATAAGTAACAATTAATAATAAATATAGCTATATATTTTGCATTAACATCGTCACCTGCTTTAGTTAAAATTATTGTTTTTATTAAAAATTTTTTTTTGTAACATAATTATTTATTTATTTATTTATTTAAAATCTGCCCCTTATTGGGAAATAACATAATGTATTCTCCGGACGTAAGCAGTTATATAAACAAAAATATACATAAATCATGGTCAACTTTAAAAATGAATTTTGGTTTTTATTTAATTCTGTAAAGAACTGATAACGAACAATCTAGGAAACACTAATAAAAGTAAAGTAATAGAATAATAGAAACTCGGTCTTGTATTTCAAACCTTTTTCTCCTCAATCATGGGGTTGTTGGGTTTTCCAAAAACGGTGGCCTCCAGTTGATAGTTGACTATTAGTGCCATGTCCGTGGGGTGCGGTTCTATACAGCCGCCTTTCCAGCGTCTGTAACAATAAAATGATAGTATAAATTGACAGGAATACATTTCCATTCATCTTCAAATCTTTATTAAAGTGTTAGCATCAGAAAATAAATGAATAGTTTGAATCGGTAAAGTTTTTCATAAAAACTAAGTGAAAGTGTATATATGTACATAGATCGCGATAATTTGTGATGGTACCCAGTAGTTAGATGGATAGCTTCATTGTCTCGGAAGATAATGAAATTAGCTTTTGCGTTTCAGACAGTACATATAATGTGGTCGGCCAGATCGGACCACTATGTAATATAGCTACCGTAATAATGACCAGCTGAAAAACTATTTTGTATTTAAATAAGTAATTACCAATCTACAAATTAAAATCACAGATTAAACCTAAAATAAATCGCACCAAATGGTAAGAATTTAACACCAAACACGAAAGAGGCTCTTGTCGGGAGTTCCCGACTTAAGGATACCCTGCAAGTCGGAAGTTCTCAACTTGGGGATACACTGAACCCTCTTCTAACAACACCAAATGCAGATCGCTCAATAACTTCACCACCAATTTATTCCCTATGAAAAGATAACCAATTAAAGTAGCAGAAACCAATGCAATACAATACAATGTTGAAAGAATTCAATTAAGACGCGCGCGAGTGTGTGTGTACATCTATATAGAAATTCTTGCGTTTCGCGCTAGCTACTTGCTTACTATATATAGCCACACGTTTTCTATTTAAAACTTCTGTGTTTCTCAATTGATGTATATATAACATTTTCAACAGCTATTATAATTGTACTGCAGAATATTCGCATATTCTCAAAAAGTCAATTGTATTAGAATTGTGGCTTAAATTGGTGGGCAATACAAAATGGTTTATTTAAATGTACTTAGCTTCTAGAATAAAATATATATAATAAAAGTGTATATACATCTAGTATCCATCGCCGCTAACACCACATAGTTATAAATCAAGTAAATAAATCAATTTGTATTCCCCACCGATTTAAGCCATAATTTAAATGCGATTGACTTTTTGAGAATATAGAAACATACTATACCACAATAAAATCAACCTTAGAAAATCTCAATCAAGACATTAAGATCGGTTGAGAAACCCAGAAGTTATTATAAAGAAAATGTGTTATCTGCTAACGTGGTTTGGGCAGTCTTGCAATTGCGATTGTATTGTTTTCTGTGATACAATTGACACTGTGGCTGTTGAGTAGAGAAGGTGGTTAATTTATTTTTGCGAGCTGCATTATTTATTGATAGAAGAGAGTTCAGGGTATCCCCTAACCGGAAACTCCCAACTAGATCCACTTATTTGATAAATAATTCGAAACCTTCAAAAAATGTGTGCCCTTGCCATAATTTTCATAAAACTTTTTCACCAATGCAGAATCAATAGATACACTAATAATTGGATCCTTAACACAGATATCAACAAACTTAGAATAGCTTCGACAAGTCAAGGATCTCATACACTTGGTTTACTGTTAGGTAAGAAATAAGAACATAGTGGGTCTAATAATGCAAAGCTTGATACAGATATCTTGGAAAACAAGCTATTTTTGTCGCTAGAACTTAATTTTCAACCGATCGTTCCTGTGCCAGCTATGTAATATATTCGGTCGGTTCCGACATACGTGCTACCTGCTATGTTTCAAAACGCTAGCTTTAACACTGAGCGGTTATGCCGAATAGCAACAGAAAGAAGGAGAGGACTACATCGACTAGATTTTTGATAATGATAAAAAATATTTACACTTTAAGAGGTCGGAGATGACTTCTATTCGTAACAAATTGCATGACAAAATAATAAGAGCCTCTATAAGAGTATAACAATTGTTTATTAAATATTCAATATGTTATTCAAAAAACTGGAATATCTTTCACAACATTTTGAGCCAGGAAAAGTCAAAAGGAAATTCCGCTAAACCAATAACATCAAATGCATAGATTACATTTGGTTCGCTTCGGATAGGCTATTGCTGCCTAAAATCTATAGATTAACCATTGCAACTTAATTTATGGTCGATCGTTTTTATGGCAGCTATATGATGACATCGTGATAAGATATTAATCAAACCTTTAACAAGTGTAAGGAGCATGGTGAAACTAAAAAAAGTCAAAATTCAAGATATTGTTGAAATATAAGCATTTCGTAAAAGAATCTACTTTTAACATTATGAAACATATATATGTAGTAGCGGGTATAACTCGTTCTGCCCGTTACACGAATAAAATAAATTTCCTTAAGAAGCTTTGAAAATTATTTTGACACTGATCTGACGTTAAACTAACAACTTGTACACAAGCGTTTTCCGCCAATTTACCACTGTTGCATGTAGAATTTCCTTAAAGTAAAGTATTCCTTTTAAGTTCCGAAAATAAATTTGAAGAAATTCGGAAAAAACTTAAAACAAAAAATCGTTGAATTGCACTTTCCAATAAAGATGCTTTGATTTTGGGAAAAATGTGAAACACGTCCCAATGATTTTTCATATAGATCCATGGATATGAATTTGACCGCGAAATATCAGCCATCAAATCCTTGTCCAATTTCCATCAAGGAGGAATGCATTTTTTCAAAGAGTGTAAAAGACCCGTCAAATCAATTTGAACATTTTTAAGCCTTTCTTTTTTCGCGATTCCTGCACACGTGCGGGTGAAATTTCCCAAAAGCTTTCCAGCTTTCTAGCTCCTACGTGTTACTCACCAGTCAGTCAATCAGGATAAACAGTATTTTATTTAGAAACAAACAGACCGACATGGTTATATCGAATAGGCTCTTAATACTGATAAGGAATATATATACTATATTGGGAAGTCTCCAACTTGTTACGCCGATGTGGAGCTCGTTACTACCATTTAGTGACCGAATTACTTCCAGATGCATTATACCTCAAAGCCATACAAAGAACTGCATATTTAAACCATTAAGAGGTCCAAGTCGGGTGGCTCCGGCTAGGGAATACCCTTAGCCCTCTAATTCCAACACCAAATAAATTATAAAAAAAAAAGTTCCCTTGGCAGGGTTCCAAATCGCAACTGACCGCATTACTGGCTGTCGACTGACTCAACAGCCACACCAGGAAAAAATAAATATAAACTACTTTACCCGGTAGGGCTCGAACTCGCCACACAGACCGCACCACTTGCTATGACTCAACTCAGCAGCCACACCAATAACTAAGTACTTTTGAGAATAGAATGAACTAAAATAGCATGCTGTTGGAACGATAGAATGCGAAGCAGACGCGCATGAATGTGGGTGTGTACATGTGTACAGAATTTCTTGAAGTATTCGCTAGCTCTCCCATCCAATTCAGCAGTAACATATAACTTTGGTTTTTTCTTAACCGATCTTCATGAAATTTTCTATAGTATATGTAATTGTACCAAATAATATTTGTGTATTTTCAAAAAGTCAATTGCATTTTAATTGTGGCTTACATTGGTTGGCAATATAAGTTGGATTATTAACTTGATTTATAGCTCTGCGGTGTTAGCGGGTAGGTGGCGATAAGTATAAAATGAAAGATACTTGATATAAATATAACTAGCGGGTATAGCCCGGCCATGCCCGGGGCACTTATGTTATAAAATCTATGTTCTCGAATAGCTTTAAAAATGATTTTGAAACTGAGCGGACAATAAACAAACTACTTATACAAACGTTTTCTGTCATTTTACCACTGTTTCGAGTGGAATTTCCCGCTAAAACACGTATTCCTTATATTCTTATATAGAGCTTTGAATATAAGTTTGATGCAAATCGGAAACAGCTTAAAATTCTCAATATATTACTTTAAAATGCACTTTCCACCGAAGGATCTTAGTTTTTGCAAAAAAAATGTGAAACACGTCTCAAATGATTTTTTATGTAGATCCATGCAAACGAATTTGAGCGCGAAACGTCACCCACCAAATCGTTGACTCTCATTTCCACCAATGAGGAATACAATTTTGGAAAATGAATTTAAACAAAGAACCTTGAAATTGAGTTTGAGGCCAATCGGATGGTAAGCAAAAAAAGTTTAATACAAACGGTTTTCGCGATTTTTCCAAACTTGCGGGTGGAATTTCCCGAAACCCCGTCTTAACGCGCACCGTCATCACATAGGATAGCTAAAGGGAAAATTTAAGCTTCCTAGCTGTTACGGTTTGGGCTGTGCGTTGATCAGTCATTCAGTCAGTCAATCAGGACAAACAGCTTTATATGTTGAGATATTCTAGAAGCAACATATTAAGTTTGGTGATCTTAATCTCTTAATACTTATCAAAATTGCTCAAACAGGATTTCGATATCGATTTTTATCGATTGCTTGAAAACGGAGTAAGTTATTGGTTATCGCAAACAAACTCGATCTGCGCAGACACTAGGAGCACCTACATCCAAAATTTTAAATTCCTAGCTCATATACGTTCTGAGATCGTTGCGTTCATACCGACGGACAGACAGACGGACATGGCTAGATCGACTCGGCTATGATTAAGAATATATATACTTTATGGGGTCGGAGATGCTCCCTTCTGCATGTTACATACATTTCCATTTTGCAGAAATACAGTATACCCTTTTTAACCATTTTAGATGGGTGCAGGGTAATAATTATATATCTCTAAAATTGTGATTCTATTTGTGTGTATGTACATGTAAATAGAAATTCTTTCGCTGTTCACTAGATATCGAATGGCTTTAAAATAATCATATGTTTTCTTTAATGACTTTGGTGTTTATTTATCGATCTTTATGATATTTTATGCAGTAGATTTTATTGGGTTTTAGAATATTTGTATATTCACAAAGAATCCAATTGACTTAATAATCTGTTTACATGATAAGCCGAAATCCACACACGCTCACATTTAACTTTATCCCCGTTACTGCCCAGCCGTCTCCCATTCTACCTCTACTAGGAGAGCGCAGTGGACCGCATTTTGGCGTTGCCACCCCACTGCTTTTTGGTTTACCAATGCACTTAGTACCTCTATATATATGAGCATATATATAT